CAAATGTCCATTGTGCTTGAGTTATCACTTAAATATTACCAAAATTATTAAAAAATGTGCATCACTAATGGTCTGCAACAAACTGTCCTCTCATAAACAAAGGTCTTAGGATCACGCTGACACCAACAACACTAACACTGATTTTTTAAAAAGGCCTTGAACCAGATCTTTTAGGTCAGGTCGCAACATCCCTAATAATAGATTTTTGCTTTGTCCATTCCATAAGTGATGAAATGAAAGGTAAAAAAAAACCCAACTTTAAAAATCTATCAGCGCTCTAGAGTGTTTAAATGTCTTGTTTTTATCTAACCAATGGTGCAACAACCAAAGACATTCAGTTTTTTGGATAAAAAAAGAAAGACAAGCAGCCAATCTTGACACTACAGGATGTGAAATCAACAAATATTTGGCTGTTCATGCTGGAACCGGATAGCTAATAACCAAAATAGTTCTTGTTGATCATCTAACCATTGAACCTCTAAAGCACTCCTAAAAATCTGTCTTTGCAGGTGTTTGGGACACGTTCACACAGATTTGTTTATAGTCAAAATCATTTGTTAGTTGCTGTTTTTAGTGCATGGCCTTTCAGTCTGTGCTTGTGACAGTCTAGTCTTGACTAATGAGACCAAGAAGTCTGCATTTGTTCATGAATGAAAGTCAGTCGCCTACGTCCTCATCCTGGACAGGTTTAGGTATTTCTAACCCTAACTAATCAAACCTGTAGCTCTCTAACAGACAGATATGATTAAACGTTAACCATTACCTGATTAAACATTAAAGTATGTTTAAAGCAGAACCAGACATACCGTCTGGCTTGTCTTTATGCTTCCTCTGCTGGCAATGCAAGGTTGCCATCACTGCGTTTTATGAAATAGTTGATATCAGCTCCAGAAATCATTTTGTATATGTAGGAGAGGCTCTAACCTTCAAAGTTTCCTGAAATGTGTTATTAGTAAAAAGAGATGATAGAAATGAGCAACTGAAAGTTAAACATTTGGTATTTAATATCAGGCCAGTACCAGACAGACTCAAAATGACTAATGTACTATTTAATTAGTGAAGCAGCCTCTTAAGCACTTTCTGTTTATTAATGTACTCCATCGACTATAACCTTTCGTGTTTTGTTCAGCAGACAGCGCACACTGGATTTTATCATTTCAACACCTTTAACATAAATTGTGTTGTCTTGTTGCTGAAACTTTGTCTGTTTTCTTTCCCCACAGAAGCTGCTCATAGAGCCGCCCGTTTATCCAGCCACATTCATCAACTACAGCATTTTCATGAACTCCCACATCCAGACGGTTTGCAGTTAAAGGAAAGATTTTCTGAATTCTTGATTCCGGTGAAAATGTCCAGAATCATTAAGTGCAACAACTCTCCAATCAGAGAACACACCTACAGAGAAATTAATCTATATTAAATACAAGGATTTCTACAGACAACCTGGGCTTTCGCTAAACACGGCAGTCACACATTGCTCACGTACACCATTTCCAATGTGTTATTTTTGTCCTAAATAGTTGCATATGGGGAAAATTTAGTCTCCACTGGAGAGTCATCTGTTTTCAGCATGTGAGCTGCAGCTGATAAAGTATTGGTATTGGCCTGTGAAGCAGAGAAATTTAACTGTGTACCAGTGATTACAGTCAATGCACTTTCAGAAACACGCTGCAGTCCATTAGCAGTGAGACACTGACGGATTTTTCTTTTGCTGTGTTGGCTTTGTAGCAGCACAATAGACTTGAAATGAAACAGTGCTGTAGCGTTTAACTGCTGACTTTTTATATACCCCTTTCACATTTAAGTTCCAAAATACAAAAAAGCTATAATAACAACAATAAGGGTCTGTGGTAAATATATTCACAGTATATTAATGATGGATCATGTGGATAAACATAAGTGAAAAGAGACAGACGTGATAACGGACATAAAACATTGGTGTTCCGTTCAGTCTAACAAAGTGTTTTAGCATCTTTCAGCTCATTGTTTTGGTTTTTAGCCTGCAGATGAAGAGTTCTGGTCCGAGCCACATCAACCAGCTGTTTCCTAACAAACCCCTTGTATGCTGAAGTCAAACAAAGTTAATGATCTGTATCAAAATCAAAATCACTATTTAAAACACATCTGCAGGGTTTACATCGTTGTATCAATAATTTGTCATGCCATTCACAATGCCTCACAGAACGTTGTTGTCCCCAAACGGCCAAACAAAATATCAGTACAGTTTTAATAAAATTAAAATACTTAATGTTTTGGTTGTAAGTCATTAATATCTAATATCTAAGTCCAACATAATTACTGACTGAATGACATTCAGAGCAGATTGACACCACTTTCTGTTTACAATCTGTCAAGTGCAACGCAACGTTTTCATCGGTCGCACTGGAGAACCTGACACCTGATACCTGGCCCACCCAGATATGTAAAATCACTTCTTTCAACTTGGGTAAATCTTAAAAGCAGAATGCCTTATTCTACTGTTTTCAAATACATTTTTGGCCAGCTGCTGCACTGTACTAACAGATTCAGGAGACTAGAGGCTTCTGTGTGCTTAACTGCCTAGCTAGTGTCTACCAAAGCTTCTTAGTCGTTTCAGAAACATTGGTAAATTGTAGCTTCCAGCAAATCATGTGAGGTATTTCATTGAACAACGTTTAATTGTAGCGTCTACCAACAGTTTGCATTTGATACATTTAGGGTAATCTGTAAATTGGAACTCCAGAGAACAACCTGGACTGCGCTCTAACTGTCTGAACTATGAGTAGGGAAATGCCACCAACTACAACAAGTAAATTCTCCACCGGTGAGATAAACTGAAACATGATAAAACAGGCACCATTATGCACTGTATTTATTGCACAGACTGTAGCCAAAGCGTGGCTGAGAACAACGCCTTTGCTGTCAGAGCCTTGACATTCCAAACTGAAACATTAAAAAAGCACAATATCACCAAGAAACTCATCCTGTGCTGTGACAGGTGTGTGGCCAGAAGAGCTGCTTCCCTCCCTGCAGCATTTCAGCAGCAGGCAGCAGCAATCTGGAATAGTGAGTCAGAAGTGATGATATAATTTAACACTGCTTATAATATAGCTAAAGAAGACCTCACTTTCATGAATCTTAATTCCCAGATCATCCTAATGAAAAAGAATGGGATAAATGTACACAAACTGTATCTGCACCTTTTTGCCTGTTTACAGTCATTTATACAATGTGAAGAATCGACCAGTGTGTATGGGAACCGACAATAAAGGTCATGTTTAGAACGTTTTATTCGGCACCAAAAGCTGCGGTGAAAAGTTTTTACTGTATCTAAATAATGTGCTGGTGCTCCTAAAAAAAAAGTTAGGCACACCACTGGAACCAGTGTTACTAGTTGGTCTGCAGTGCCATGTTTTGTTTCCTAATGAATTAATGAATGAAATATTTATGAACTGCACCGAGTTGTCAGGAGGTGGTTGGAGTGGATGGTGGACGTACAAAGCATTTAATTCTCACACCAGGGGTTCACATCCAGACTACCACCTGTGGGTAGGTTGGCAGCCAAAGCACTTTGGTTAAAGTTAGAAATATCATGGCTGCCTATGAACATTTTGCTGAATTTAAGCAGCCCGCGATCTTTATACAATCCTAAGTGCTCCAAGAGCCGAAAGTGGACATTGTCCTGCAAGACTGAATATTTTGGTGACAAAAAAATAATATGACAGTGATCATTTTGGTATAGACAGTATTTGATACTTGCAAAATATGTTAATCAACAATGTTACCATACTCCTTATGTCAATAAAGAAGGTCCTTCACTCGCAATTACCATCTAAATAAACTTTTTATTATAATTTATTTGTGTGGAAACTTATTTTATGCATCTACTAGTCTGGTATTCAGTAAAGGAAATGCACGAACCAGATTCAGTTTAATCAAGCAATTCCTTATCTGTATATCTGAGGTCATTGTTTGAAAAGCTGAACAAGTCCCGTTAATTAATACTGATAAGAACACCCTAAGACACCCTTGTAGCAGTTTAACCTTAGTCACTGTTTCACGTGCCAGAGTTGAGCCAAAAAATACAAAACTGTGCTCCTGAACCAGGATTTGCTCCTGTTTAGCAGCAGTTATCCAGTTCTCCGGATCCACTGTGGTTTTCTTTCAATTTCGACGTTTAAAATATGCAACAGATGACCAACATATCCAGGAAAAAGCAAGAGAAGTTAAGAATGTTGTTCCCATTTCTCTCCGCATGCGATGGTTTCTCCTCTTTCAGCTGTCAGCTCTTGCTAAAATTTTCAAACGATGAACTTCTCTGCTCGGCTCAGATCACTTTTTTCTCGACCAACTGCTGAGCCGACAAAACTTTCTGTCTTTCAGCAGTCGATGCTTCTCTGCTCTCCTGCTCCTCGCTCTCCATCACACGCACGTACACTTTACACAAAACAGCACAAATACCTGCATATTTCTGTAGCATTTTGTCTCAGGGAGACAGAAACAGTGAGGCTCAATTCCCATGACAATTGTGAAATACTTACATGAAAGCCTCCAACCTGTTTCACTCATGCACAGCAGCCGCAATCCCAAACACTCTGAAGAAGGAGAGTTTGCCGCCGATAAACTAAATTTGTAAAGATCGACAGCAGTAACACTCCTGCACACAAACACAACAAGCACTTGTGCGGAGCTGTAATGATTCACAAACGCACTGCATTTGAAATAACCAACAGCAAGTAAGAGCCGATAATGAGATAAGTGCCACAGTGCTAATGTCTGCTAAAACACGTCTGGCTGTTCTTGCTTGCAGACTCAAAAAGCAACAGATCAAATGTCAAATAACACAAGGACACTAGAGTAAAAAGGTGAGACCTCCTTAAACCAGGAAATAGAGTGAGCGTGAAGAGACTAAAAGATCCACATAATTTATAGATGTGAGAGCACAGATGCTCTTCTCAAAGGGCAAAATCGCGTACTCAGAAGCAGCGAAAAGGAAAAAAGGATTAAAAAGTATGTCTTACTTTAAGTAGTCTTCATTATCTCTGTCACAGCGAAAGTCCTTGTGTTTCTCCCAGTCTTTGCCATGTTTACACGTGGTCAGCAGAATAATATCTTCCCCATTGTGGATATGATACAGAGCATTCCTCGTCTCCGAACCTATGCCAGTTAGGTACCGCTTCCCTTTGAAAACCAGCTGGTACTTCCTGGAAGGCGGTGCATCGTTGAGCGTCAGATAGCCTATGCCCCCTCCTTTTAGCGGGTGATCTTTAGAGAATAGAGGGATGGAAATATCAAAGTTAGGTCGGAAGTTGACCACATCCGCACTGGCCTTGGCCAGCATTGCTTGGCCCACCTCAAAGCCTAGATCCTCTGTGTAGTCCGGCCAGGTGCCAGAGTAAAGGTTGAATATGAGGTGGTTCCTGCCATCATTCCAGGTCGGCAGACTCTGGATGCGAGATCTGACGTTCTGGACATACTGAGCTGAGAGCTGGTCCCTGTCCAAGGTGTCCACAGCCAGAATGAACAGACAGGCCCGCGAAGGGTCCGTGGTGTGGAAGCGAGACTCCTCGATGGAGGACAGGATCTTCTGGTAGGTCTCTGAGATCTCATCCCCTCTTTGCGGAGGGTAGATGTAAATCCTGAATCCTGACTGGCAGCGAGCAAAGTCGAAGCAGGTTTCCATGCGGCAGCGCTTGTTCTTGTAGATGTTGTCACGGATGGCCCGTCGTTCACGAGGGGAGGTGTGCTGGTGATGGAGCTGAGGGCTGTCCTCCTGTTTGAACAGAGGTACACTGTCAAGACACCTTAAAATACAGAAAAATGGCATCTAATGATATCATGACAAAGTTTATATGTACTGGCTATCCTGTGTAGTAAGTAGGTATGCAATTTTATACAAGTTTCTTGAGAAGGGTTCAATAACAATTCATTCAAACAAATTAAGTCTAGTGGATATTATTTCATATGTAAATTAAGCTACAACATTTGCCACTAAAACAACTTAGTTTTATTAGCTACTTGGCTATAGGAATGCTGTCCTAGCAGACTTTGACTCCTCTTGTTTGCCTGTGCTCTGGCCAGAACTCATTACCCACCACAGAAGTCTTTGTCATGGTGCCTATTTTTACCTAAATACCCACAGTGCCCCCTGCTTGCCAACATAAAACTTTCTGCAGTCCAAGCAATCCCTTCCTCAGGTCGCCACACTATTAATCCAAACAAACAGCAATCTTCCACTTCACTAAACAGTAAGAGCCTCCACCTGATGGCACAACCAGGGACTGCAGCTGATCTACCAAACATTTTCTGACATGCATGTCTCCCTGTCAGGTAATTTATTTTCAATTAGTGTAATTATCAGCGGCAACTATTCAATTAACAGTTAGTCGTTGACATCTCCAGTCGTGAAGTGTGTTTTTGTTAGCTGACGCTTTAATCAGGAGAACAGTATTACATGTGTAGCCTCAAACTGCTCCGTCATCAACTCCTCTGCTGCATTACTGTGCTGAAGTCTGAGCTCTGGATAGGAAGTGTGATGGCCCTGTCCAGTCGGTTGGTTTAGGTATATCAGGGGAGATGTCACATTCTGCAGTCTGTTTTTAGGTCACTGAGGCACCAGGGCCTGAGTGGGCGGTCCTGTCTGTCTGGAGCACTTGGGCCCAGTGGTCCCCAGGCTATTAAAGGCCCGACCCTCAGAGTGTTCCCTCTCTCTGCTGTGGCTGCTATTGTTGGTTTGGTTTTGACATTACACTATAACCATGCATCCATAATTACACCACTTATGTCACTGATTAACACACTCCATGTATTTCCTTGCTTTAGTGGAGTTAATATTCTTTTGCTGGCATTTTGTATTCATTCCCCTTTTTATAACTGTCTATAAGTCACGTTATAACAAATGACAGCTGCTGACTTGTATTTGATTTCTCAAACCATTGCTACTCAACCATCTTGGATTCTGACCCTTTCAAAGCAAAGAAATGCGTGTTTGTAATGGCTTGCATATGTCTATTGCTGGGCTCAGATAACACTCCATTAAAATAATGATTATGGCACAGTGGAGATGGCCGTATAGAGGACTGCAACAATACGCTCTGCAACACCATCATGCAATGTGTGCACTGGCAGCTTACTTTAACCTCTTAAGACCTAGTGTCTACATGTGTGGACATCACATTTTGGGTTATATTACCACAGTAGGTATTTTTTTAAATTAGTTTTTTACTTTCATTATTTTATTATTAATATTTTATTATTGTTATTTATTTTTTTAAATATATTTTATATATTCTGTTTATTTTATTCTATTTATTTTTTATTCTCTTTGCTATTTGATCTGTTCAAATAGCAAAGAGAAATAAAAAATGCATATCAAACAAGAGCTCGGGTCTTAAGAGCTTTAAACAAAGGTAGAATATTTCAGCTTTTAATCGCACAACTGTTGATGTTTTTAGAACTTTTCAGAATCCAAACTACACTTATTGACCAAGTAAGTTTACTTATGTCATAAACCTTCAAACTCAAGGATCCATTACTCAAACTTCCTTAATTGTTTATTGTAGCAGCGCTACCTGCAAAACATGCCACCACCTACCCGGCACTTAACGCTGGGCTGTTTTCCGCATGAATGCCTGGTAAAAGCTGTAAACACTTCAACCAAACAACAGTGCTCCCTTCTCAGACTGTTTCATTTGAATAGTATTAAGACCAGACAAAAGTCTGAGAAAAAAAAAACAAAACATAATCTGCATTGGAAAAATATAATCACACTGATTAATCATTTTGTGATTAAGCTTTGAAATCACCCTTATTTGCCTTTAACCCATTTTTACTATTATAGTATGAAAACATACTGTCAATTTACTTCTTGGATCATGGAAGAAGGAGGCATTTTACTGTATATTTATACTATGAAAAGTCAATTTTGCTGATACTACTTCTGAGAAAAAAGGATTTTTAGTTTGATCATTAGTCTGAATCCTCCTTCAACAGCTGCTTCTACGTGAACCCTTCAGTCTCCTTCCTGTTTTTGGTTTAAGATTTTCCACGGTTGCTTTTCCCGTTAATTGCTACCTCCTGCTCTCCTCCCTCCAGATATGGCTCCAGCAGCTCTGTCGACTCCGGCCAGTGCCTGGGCGGTCTGGACGGGGTTCTCTGAGGCAGCGGCTGGGGCTGGTACACGTCCTGACTCTGGTGGTAGTACTGGTATTCCTGTTGGTGGTACTGGTGATACTGGGGGTACTGGGGAAACTGGCGATATTGGTACGGCTGCTGATGGAACTCCCCGATTTGCAGAGCCCACAGGTAGACGAGGAAGAGAAGACCGGCCCCCACAGACACAAGCAGGTACCGCTTCTTGGCCTGCATGTGTGCTGCGGGGGGAGGGAAAGGAGGAGGTGGTGGAATGAGGGAGAGGATAGGATGGAGGTACCACAGTAAGAGTAAAAAGGAAAGAAGGAAGGAGGAGGTGTGAGAAGCAGATAGAGAATGAAGTAAGAGACTGGGATAAAAGCAGGAATGGTGAGAGCAGATAAAGAGTTGAAGAGGGGGAACAGAAAGAAAAAGGAGAAGAGGAGGAACTAGGAAATGATGGAGGAGGGGTTGCAGGGAGGTAACACAGGTCAGCTCTCTATCCACAGCTCGGCATTTTGGGATTTGGAGTCACTAAAAGAAAAAAGAAATAGAAAATTACTCGTGAATTACTTTAAATATAATGGTACATATAACACATTTTTAAAGTGAAAGATATAAGAAATCCATTATCAAAACAGCTTTTCTCATTTGAACATTTCTAATGATTGCAGTTCAGGGCTGCAACTAACAATTAATGCCATAACTGATCAGTTCATTCGTCTATAAAATGTCAGAAAAATGGCGAAAAATGTTTCCCAAAGTCGAAGATGACAAACGTCCAGAAGAGTTTCAGTTTACTATCATAGAGGAAGAAAGAAACCAGGAAAGATTCACATTTAAGAACTGAAATGAGAGGATTTAGACTTTTTTTTTTTCATTGCTTAATTACTCAAAGTGATTAATTGTTTAGCAAAATAGATGTTGATTAATTTAATAGGGTACAACTAATTGTTTAATCTGTACAGCTCTACAGATACGGACACAAAATGACTTTTCGTTCAATGTTTCCTTGATGAAACTCAATCTGACCGGTGTGTTTCATTCACTGCGGTGCAAACTAGTGCATTTAAACAGCAAATTCATTTAGAAGGAAACATATTGTTTAGTTAACATATCTGGTAAATAAGCAACATATCTATAAAAAGTTTACTGACTATTTCTTTTTTTCTTTTCCACCAGTGTTGTGCTGCAAGACATCAAGCCTTTTTACAGGTTATGCGCTTGCTGTCACAGCATTGCATTAGGGTTTGTTCAAATAAGTGGTGTGTTTTAATCCCAAAGCAGTCCATAAGGAACAATAATATCCCCCCTACACCTGACCACAGACGGGTCTGCATGTGAACTCTTTATGTAAGGGGAAAAATTAAAATATTCAAATTAAGTCCATGATGAAGGTGGAATTAAAATAATTTGACAGTTTTCCTTACCAGAAATTACTCAATATGGTCAATTATCACTAATAGTTGGCAATTAATTTAGTAGTTAATAACTAATCATTATAATGATGAAAACTGAATCAAGTCAGATAAGTGCATGAAGAGTCCACATGCATTTTGCTCAGGCTGAACTAAAGGCTTCAGGTTCTGTCAAGAAGCAAAAAGAACAATAAAAAGCAATGAGGTGATCATATATGTTTTAAGCCCAAGGACAGAGTCCATGGTTTTGTTTTAAATTAAACAAGGAGGAATAAACATGTTGCATACTTTTAAACATATACGTTCCTTCAAGGCTGAGCTGCCCTCCAAGTATATTATTAATTCAACATTTACTGTTTCCCAAGTGAGGAAAGAGGATTTCTGGTGTGATCACATGCACCAGACTTTTCTGTGGCCATTTTTCATAAATCTGGCAATTAAGCATTTGCCTTTAAGAGAAGATATTTACCGCCTTCAATTTGACTAAACACACTTTAATTGTGAAAATTCGTCTCTGACTGCGCAGCCTTCTACCAAACTCTAACTTTTCCAGTTTCCTCAAAAAAAAAAAAAAAAAAAAAGAAAGACGACAACACAGCCCAATCCAATGTTTTTTAATCACTTTAACTATAGTGTAAGACAAAGTGTGTGCCAGCTAAAGACGCGTCTCCTGGACATTTATTAGATAATACTGGATAAGCAGTGCGCACGACAATACGGTTTATCTGAAGGGAGTTTGGAGCGGGATAAACAACAAGTGCAATATCTGTTCCATTAAAACCTCCTCTCTTGCGAAGGAATTTTCCAACTGGTGCTGATGTTTCTTTTCTTCCTGAGCTGACTGTATGGTTGAAGAGCTTTGATAAGAATCCACTCACCTGTTCAAAGGGAACACCTGTGGTTCCGGAAAGGGATCGTGTCCGCTGCTCTCCTCTCCAGCCTGAGCAGGAATCCACAATTTGGAAAACACATTCTTCATTAACCCCCGAACACCGAATCACAAAGCCATCCAAGTTATTATTCAAACACGTGTGGAAGAAGAATTACTGAGCGCAGCGTCCTCGGGGAAGCCGAACAAGGTGCGCTGCCTTCATCCTCCGCCGCGTCCCAGTCACAAAGTTTCCCCGGGAAAGGACCACGGAGCGCTTTTCATGCATGCGAGACTCCCACAGGAACACAGAGCTTTCTGTCAGCACGGCAGGTACCCCCGGTGTGAATGTAGATACACACTCATCTACCAGAAGAGCCGTGTTCACATCCACAGCATCCATCCAGAATGAAGTGTGTTAAACAAGGCGCGTATATCTCCAATCAGCATCTGCTATCCCCCTTCAGAAAATCCCAGCTAGAGAAGATCCAAACTTTGAAATTTTAAATCCACCTGTGCGCTGCCGCTTCACTGTGAGGAATAAGCAGGAATCATCATCCCAGGTAAGTTAAGGAAATGCCGGCGCACCTGATCCGGAGAGACGCGCATCAATAAAATCCTGTTAGGAGCGACTTCACGGTCCCCCCTCCCCCTGAGTGGCAGGAAGGCAGCGCTTCTCCACGGGGTTAAAGTGATGGATCAAACGGACATCATGAGCTGTTCTTCTGGGCTATTCCATCCCGAACACTGGCTTCCAAACAGTCCCGCTGTCCTCACGTTTCCACTATCAAATCCTCAGTTGGATCCGGGCTGCGCCACCGTGCAGCATCCAGCAGCATCAGCATCAGCAGCAGCAGCAGCAGCAGCAGCGCTGATAAGCCAGACAGCAGCAGGCTGGCAGACTGGGGGGATCCGAGTATGCACGGGGCGTCTGTTGGTTCTGATAAGGTATGGGAGCTCGCCATAATTCAGCATCTCCCAGTCTGCATTGTATTTGTGTTTGTATCTGTTTAATGGAGGGTATGAAGGCGAGAAATGTCCCAAGAAATCAGCGAAATCACAGATCAGGGAGAAGTCCCAGAGGAGCATTCAGGACCTTCAATATGACTGTGTTGTTCCTATTTTGGAAACCAAACTCCTTTCAGAATAACTGGTTTGGGGGCTTAAATAAGTTGTACATGTAATACATGTATAGGCTGCGTCTATAGTGTCCCATCAAAGTTGAGGTTTTGTTTTTCCATGCAATTGCTGAATAGACACAAATGAACCCGAAGTTGTAACGTTGAATTTCCTACACCCTGAACATTTCATGCACAGTTTACAAGATTAAATTATAGTCTACAGTTCAGGGATGTTAGGTGATCTGCATGTAATTTGTCACATTAATAAAACAAAATCTTCTTATGCAGAGCCCAGGATCCCCTTAAGGTTGAGATGATAGGATGCTAAATGATGCTGAGGGGATTTATCACGGCTTACAGTTCTGTGAACTGACTCTTTTTGCAAACCTGTGAACTTTTAATTAAGTCTTAGCTCATCAAATCGCTTAATGAGTCGAATATTTGGTCTAATAAATTAACTTTGACCGTGTGGTCCACTAATCTTTCCATCTGTCCTGCCCTTCCTTCACGTTGCTGTTTATTTGTATAGATGCAATTGAGTGAATAAAATTAATTTGCTCAGGATTTAAATAGATGTAATTATCTCATGAATTAGAGGGCGACTTTACAGATGTTGTGGAGCCTCTTACAGACACATGGTGTATCAAACAGCTCCATCTTGTGGCACATTCTGCAGCAGCTCCAGTGGACACACAACTACCACACACACATCTCAGTGTTTTGTGTCTAATAATGCAATGATGAGAAACCACAAAAGTGAGGGTCTAAGATTTTACTGTCAGGTATGTCAAACAGGCCTTTGAAAATCACAAACTCTTACAGTTTTGGAGCTTAAATGATGTGCTGTTAAAGGAACAACCTCTCAGTCACTGCAGAGGCTCTCTGAAGCTGCACCAGGCTTCTACAGACAGAAAGAGGTGCCTGTCTGACAAATAATTTAAGGTGAAATCAGCTAACTGCACACAGCACGGGGCATAAATATTAATCCAGTCAGTCTCTGATGCTTTATAACTAAGTCATGACAGAGACATTTATGCACAAGTCATGGCAGGACAGATCTGGTCTACAGTGTCTCAGAAAGAACACATCTCTGTCTTGCGTCTAAATAAAATGAAAAAGTCCACACCTTCCTATTCTTCTACATTATGTGTCACAAACATTTATACCATTGCACCGCATTTGATTCAGTAGGCATCCTCCCTTTAATTAGTATAATTTTACTCCTAGGTTTAATCTTCATTCCTCCATAAGTTAACTGGTGAGCCCACTCTAGAGGCCACGTGAATCGTCTTTTGTCCTTGATTTTTCTAGATTGTTCTTCTGTCTTGTTCAACAGCCCCTAAAGCCATCACTATAAACCTCGCTGCTGGTGCACTTTATTGTGTTTCTGTTGCTCCGGTGTCAAAATTGGACCTTTTACATGAGTTGGGAGCAGTATAAATCCTCAATCTCAAAAGGTTGAGGAATATGAGACCAATAACAGTTTTAAAGCACTTGAAAAATAATACTTAAGGACGGATTTCTCATCTGTGATCTCCAGCTGCATCCTGTAAGTCTCTGGATATTTGTCTAAAACACTAGCAGATGTAGAACTAGCAGTCTCTCTCTGAGCAGCACAGTTTTCTTCTAATTTACTGGTACTGTGATAACTCTGAAGGATTCTCTGGTGTTGATGGCTTCATGCTCCATTAGGGGATGATAAATCTGAAAAGGTCCTGTTGGTGTTCGCAGAGCAGCAGAGAGAGCCAAGTTTGATCTGTTTCCAGTCTCAGTCTATCGCTCCACTTCCTCCACTTCCTCATTTTCACTATTAATCTTGGGATTGTTGGG